TTTTTTTTTTTTTTTTTTGATATAAGCCTTTTTATTTATTTTGAAACGTATATGTGTCCTACTCTTTCAATCGTTGGGCCCATTTTTGGTTCTTTTTTAATATTTTATTATTATCATTATAACCGTTAAGCTGAAGGGTCTCAAAAAACTTTTTAAATTTTTTCCTTAATATTTGCTCATTATAATCTAAACCGAAGGACTCCAAAAGCTGCACTCAGAAACTTGATACATTTCTTACGACACAGGAAGCATCACCAAGTTGACCAGTAAGCGAAGCTTCGATCACAGTATCATTGAAGTGGTTAATCAAGTATAAAAATTAAGTCAAACCTGTTCAATGCGCTTTTTCAGCGTACATTTGTTTGTTTGCGTGACACGAAATATGCAGCTATAAACACCATTAAGCACTTCAGCGACACAAAAAACAGATCTGAAAACGAAGTTTTATCTTTACTTGGGTGCAGTGGGATGAAAATCGAACAAAATGAAGACCTTATCAAGATAGAATTAATTGGATTAGTTCGTACGGGTTCATCAATTCCTCTGTCTTAAAAAGAAATATGAACTAGAAAAACAAAATTTGGGATTGAACGGGAGTGGGTACATTCAGAAAACAAGCGGTGGGTACTAACTGGAGGTATGCAACTCAGAATCGAAAGGCCTGATACCATGCAGACGATACGAGGGGCGAGGGGGGAAGAAGTTAAATCGGCTAAAGAAGTTAAGTCGCTTAAAACAATTATTGGGATGGTTTTGGGTATATATAATGCAAACAAATTTCACCTCACATTCGTCTTTTTTAAGTTAAGCCATTCTCCTAATTGTTCAGCTGAGTTCAGTTACTGTCATCATAAAGGATAATTTTTGATCCCGCAGATAATATAAAATTCGAAAATTTCCGGAAAAAAACAACAGATACGACCTATCTCCCACCTTTTCCATGAATCCACTTGAGAAACCGATACACGAAACCATTCGGTGGAAATGAAACGATTATGGAACTCGTTGTGCTTCTTGCAATCCGACAATGAATCACAATCGTACACCATACCGCACTGAAAATAAACATTCACACAGCCATCTCCATAAAAGTACTCCATCTTTCAAGGGTTTTTCACAAACAATCCAAAGCTTACACAGCACTATTTGAATACTTCAGCAGCTACAAGTCATCGACGTTCGTTGTCACGCCATCGATGCAACACTGGCAATTTCTCCATTCAACTCGTTTTTGCATTCTTCGAGTCCACACGGTAATGCACAGGCGTACCATGAGATCTCTCCACCTCACTGATAGCCTACTCAGTATTCGCTTGATCGTGCACGGATGCCATTCCATTATCCGTTTCGTCCGTCTATTATCTGTCATTCGTGCCGCATGACCATCAGCCCATCTCTCCTTGCTGGCGTACATTGCTTCGATAATGTTCTTCACGCCAAATCTGGCTCAAAGCACTTCATTTGGAATATGCTGTAGCCTGTTGGCGCCGACCATCCGCCACTCCATTGCTCTTTGAGACACTGACAATTTCCGTTCTTCTGCAAGCGTAGTGCTCCACGTCTCAAACCCATACAACATGGTTGGTAGAACGGTCGAATTGTAAACTGCTGCTTTTGCAGATGATACAAATAACAATCCAACTGCTACTTACACAATAATAATAACACCAAAACGATAGATGTTGTACCAAAAAATACAAATCCACTTCACAAAGATATCCGTTAGCTTCAAAAAAAAGAACCGATTTACCTTATTACAGCACTGATGACCAAACAGTTTTTGCCCAGCATCCAGGATCATTTGGTTCGAATCATCCAAATGCTTACGTTTTTTTCTATTTTCTTTCCCAAAAATTACAATCCGTCGAAGAACAGCATACTGTGGCCCGGCCGATGGATGTTCTTGATCTGTTGATGACGCCGATTCACACTGTTTATCGTCGTGATCCTGTTCTTCTGGAACAACAGTAACAGACGGTCCTGCTTCGCCGTTGATCGATTTCGGCTTTTCTGGCAAGCGAAAAAAATCGGTCAATAACTTTTGCCTCAAAACAGGCATCTCCACATCGCAGTGCGCTGAAACGCATGCAGTATGGTCTGACAAACAGAAATTCATGTGCTAATTGATAAAATAATGTGAAAACATCCATCTTCGAGATAGTGCGGTAAATTTAAGAAAATATGCAAAAAAAAAAAAGAAAAAAAAATAAATGACAAAAAATAAGAGATAAACAGGAATCATCATCTGCAAAAATACTACTAGCAACGATTGAGGCGCTTCGACTCATTAATTTCTGTACGTCTTAACCTAGTTACCCAAAAATCATCATAAATAATCATAATAACAAAGAGTTTCCAAGATCAAATTGTTTTTTCTTCA